GCGGCGCGGCCCGGCTGGGGGCACTGGCGGAGCCGCTTCCCTTTGCCCTGCAGCCGCCTACCGCTTCTCGGTGCTGCTCTTCAACTGCCTGCTCACCTTCGGCTCCTACTTCTGCTTCGACATCCCGGGCGTGCTGCAGGACCAGTTCCAAGGGGTGAGTGCGGCCCCGGGAGCAGCGCTGGGGCTCCGGGAGACCATCGCTCCCCGCCAGACTGGCCTCAAAGTCCAGTTGCGATGGAGGGTGGAAAAGACCCGTGGGCTCTGCAGGCCTCCCAGCTCCCTGCGCCGGCACCGCAGCTCCCGCCGCTGCGGAACAGAGCGATGCTGCGGGGTCATTGGCAGTCCTAGGGATGCACAGGGTGCCAYGGCATCACRCGCTGTCCCTAGGGATGCACAGGGTACCACGGCATCACGCGCCATCCCTCGGAATGCGCACAGTGCCATGATGTCAYGCGCTGTCCCTAGGGATGCACAGCGTGCCACAGCATCACGCGCAGTCCCTAGGGATGCGGAGGATGCCACAGTGTCACGTGTGGTCCCTAGGGATGTGCCGGGTGCCACRACCTCATGCGTGGTTCCTAAGGATGCACAGGGTGCCACGGCATCACACATGGTCCCCAGGGATGCACCAAGTGTCACGGTGTCACCCACCATCCCTAGGGATGCACAGGATGCCATAACATGATGATAAACATGAGCAGTGCTCACAGGCACTGAGAAATGCTCCTCTTCAGGATAGCTGATACCTCAGGATAGCTGCTCTCCAACCTGGAATGACAGGCTCGGGAAAATCTTACCATTTCTTTAAGTCAATCTGTAACTGTTCGGACAGTGGACATCAGGCTAGACTGAGTGCAATTTGTTATTGCTTTACAAATGCTGGGTTAAACAGGAAGAATTTAGGCCAGTATTTATTCCTTGTTACTCCATTGCTTCTGTGGGACTATCGAAGAATAGTCAATCACTTATTTACAGAATAAAGGAGAGGTGATACGTAAAATACATACTCCAGACTCCAGGGAATCAGTGTAGAAACTGCAGTCTCATTTCCTAAGAGGGGCAGATCTTTAGCAGCTGGAAGATCCAGTTTTCCCTTTTCCAGTCCTATCCTGGGGAGATGTTTCTTTTCAATAGCAGAATAACCTCTTTAAATCATTCCAGGGCTACCCCTTTCCTACTGCAAAAAGCTTCATGGCTGTGAACTAAAATGGGGTGCTGTTAAATGCTACCTTTATGTGCTGCTTAAAATTTTATAGTATGTCACGAGGAATCGAAGCAAGCTAAACTGGAAGGTAACAGATCAAATAAATCTCGTTGCGTACTCTTGGCTTTTCTTTTGGTCTGATGTGTGTAGGAAAGCGCTGTGGCCCTGCAGCTCCTGCCACAGCAAAGGACAGAGAAGTTCTGCTGGTCAGGCATTTCTCAGCTGTTGTTCGGGGAGAAGGGACAAGTTCCTAATTCCTGATCATGCAAGTGGGAACTGAGAAATAAAAATCCAGTGAGAAAGAATTGCCATCATCTTTAAAGGGACCTGGGAATGCTTGGGTTTTCCTGTCCACTTTCTAACACGGATTCTTGGACTCGTTTTGCAGAATTTGACCTGCCCCAATGGAACCCATCCTAACAGCACCGGACCAAACAGCACAGTGGSTTGTGTTGAAGGCTTAGGGATGACACCTGCACAGTACAACTTGCTGTATGCCATCTACGCTTGGACGTGAGTCACTTTTCTCCTACTTTGTGTGTGTGCATGAGGGGGCTGGTTGTTTCCTTGAACCAAGCCCCAAATATTTCTGTTCTTGTTTGCTCCTAGAAATGCAGTAGTGGTGATTCTGGCTGGATTCCTGATCGATAAACTGGGAAATCGCTGTAAGTTCTTAGGACTGATCAATTTATTCTTCTACTGAAGTGGTGATTCAGGCTGTTCTGTCAGTGCAAAGGAATGACCAAAGGTTCCTTTGAGTGAGATCTTGTGGGCGTGGGAGAGGAGCTGCAGCTTTGTGTAGCGAGGACCAGGGCTTTAGTGGATTTGCTCTGTAGCTTTTAGTAGGTTTTGCAACTGAGGCCTTTTCATCCTCTGACTGCTGACTTATCTGAATTTACACAGCAGGGCAGTAAACTCGCTTTCCTCTGGCACAGACAGGACAGGATACCTGCCTTGGATGGGACAGGCCGATAGCGTTGTGCTCCCTGCCCCRATGTTTGCTCTGGTGCCTGGAGTCGTCTCGGGCCTGGCAATCCTAACAAATCCAGCGGGGCTCTGTCTCGCRGGTCACGTCTCAGAGACGAGGCGCAGGCAGAGGAAAGGTTTGCTCCAGGCTGCAGTCCGCCGTGGAGCTCGGGGCAGGAATTGCAGCTGTGGAGTCCTTCCTTTCTCTTCTGCCTCGCTTCTGCCTTAGCAGTATATCTTAGTCATTTTAAATATTCCCACAAGTTTCTTTCGTTTTAAATATTCCCACAAATTTCTTACAAAATTAAACAAAACATGTAAGTTGATGGAAGCACTCAGGTTTAACTTGTATTCTGAGGGTGGTTTATTAACTTATTTATTTATTTTTGGTCAAAAAATGCTTTTGTCCTGATTTCAGCATGTCTGTTGAGATTTGCTTTTTTTTTTTTTTTTAAAACCTTTTCTCTCTAGTTGGTGTCTTTGTTTTCTCCCTTCTGACTGTGCTGGGATCGTCGATCTTTGCGCTGGGCTCTCATTTCAAGGGGTCACCATATCTCCTGCCACTGATGCTGACAGGGAGGCTGCTCTTTGGCTCTGGAAATGGATCCCTTACTAGTAAGGAATTCACATTTTGTTTAGACCTCACCAGAGTCACAACATATCTGTATTTTGCCTCCTAGACGCCTCTAGCCTGAGYAGCTCTGTTCATCCCTTCAGTGTAATGCTCCTGGCTAGGTCTGTCTGTTCAAGAGGGGCTTTTTTGCCTTCTCCAAGTTGTGCAGAACCGTATCACAGCCGTCTGGTTCAAAGGGAAGGAGCTGGCACTGGCCTTTGGACTGACCCTCTCATTCTCCCGCCTTGGAAGTGTCCTCAACTTCTTCTTCACCCAGCAGTTTGAGACACGCTTTGGAATACAGTGGACGCTCTGGGGCGGTGAGTTCCTTTGGCTCTTTGGCCTCCTGTCCTCCTGACACTGAACTGTTTAGTTTCTGCATTGCTGCCTGAAAATCCTAACTAAAGCTGTGGTGTTTGCACTGCAGCTTTGTTTCTGCAATATCTCTGTAATATTTTAGCATCTACAGTCAYGAATAACCAGTGTTCAGTGTAGCTTTATTCCAATTGAATGAATGGAAACAATGAGATTGAAATGACAGAGGAATATAATGCACTTGTCCTTCTGTATTTTGCCAGCAAATACCACTGATTTCTGAAATAGTTCTTATATTGGTCTCAGCATAAGTTGTTTTACACAGGGAGCTCTATGTTTTACATACATCTAAGATGTAGATTTAAATTACTGTGGGAAGCAGAATCTGCCAGGTGTCGATCTGTTCTGCAGCTTTCCAAGGCTTGGGATTCTGTCCTGCCTCCTGTGCAGCGAAATGGGAGCCACCCCTAGTGGCAGGGATGATCCAGGGTCACCGTGCAGTCAAGTGGCAGCACTGACATAGTCTGATGTTCCAGAAATGCAGGGAGCCATGGCGTTAGGGAGACCTGCCCTGTGACATGCCTTTTAGGATGATTTTAGGAGTTTTAGAGCTTGCATCAGCCTGGGCTTTTTAAGCATGGAAACCCTACTCTCCAACACAAGTCTTGTAGATTTTCTTTTTTAAAGCAAATGAATCTATGCAGCTTTTTTTTTTGTTGTTTTGTTTTTAAAGCAAATGAAATTAAAAGGCAGGATAAGTAAACACCTTTCAGGCAGGATAATGGTGACTGATGAAAGGCAATAGAATTTAATGGCCAGAGAGCTTGAGGACTGTGCCTGGCAGCTGTGAAGAGGTAAATGGTTCCCCTATCCAGCTGCAGTAGGGAAGGCTGTTAACATCAGGAGAGGCCAGGAAGGTGAGTCACCAGGAAGGTGAGTCGCAGAGAATTCTGCACCTTGAGTGCAATTGCTTCTGTCCCTCAGCTCCCTCCAGTCTGAGGAACTTCCCCGGCCTGCTATGTGTTTTCCAGGTACCCTGCTGTGTGTGCTTGGCTTCCTTTCAGCCATTGCAGTCAGCGTGCTAGATAAAGTGGGCATGAAGCAGCTTGGCTTGGATGGGGTCATCCAGCAAGAATCCAAGAAAGTGGTACGTGGCGCACAGGCAGCGTTTCCCTCTTGGTCTTTGAAGAGCTGAGGTGGGTGACCATGAAATGCACAGTGAGCTGTCAGGGCTGCAGGAGGGCACTAATGGTACTTTGCAAAATCTTGCACAGCTCTTCTTTGAGTCTGAGGATATTGCACCTGCAAGCCGGCAGGCAAATAGAAATTATTTTTTGTTCAGAGTGTATGTATTTCTGGCTTTCCAGAGAGCTGACTCGACACGCTCAGGATGTTACTTCTTCAAGCCACTTAGTCCTTGACTGTAGATGGCTCAATTGAGGATTTGTTTATGGATAAAACCGGGTACTAGCCTCTCTGGAACTGCTTGCCAGGCCACAGGAGCTGAGACAGAAAATAGCTCCCTTCTCATGACAGTTCTCTCAGTAATTTCTGTACCCCAGTATTGTGACTGTAGTTTTACTGTCTTTTCCCTGTATTTCACATAGGAGTTTGCAGTAGGTTCGGAGTAGAGCCTGCTCAGAATAGTTTCTTGCAGCCATAACCTTTAAATATACAAAGAGTTTTTGTTATTTTGTTATTTTGTTACTGAGTGCCATTACAAAAGGGATGCCCTGAAGCCACAGGAGATGCCAAATTTCTCTTAGAGGTGCACAAGCAGCCTTTCTATCCCCTTTTATGTGCTGTTCCTTCTTAAGCCTTTTATGACCTAGCTTTCAGAGGGGACGTCTGTGTGAAAGCGCAGCCTCTTTCCTGCTGAGTGAAGGTGCRTCCTGTCTTTGCAGCGCATCCAGGACGTCCGACGGCTTCCCCTTCGCTACTGGCTCCTGGTCCTCACCATCATGTTCTTCTACAACGGGGTCTTCCCTTTCGTGGCAGATGCCAGGTACTGGCCCTATGGCTGTAGTCCCTCGGACAGATATCAGCCCACAAGCCTTGCAGCTCTTGATTTTCAGCTGTGTGGGAAACAGGCTTGCTCCTGCTGCTCTTGAAACACAAAACATGTCTTTAAGACTCATTTAAAGACTATCAGGACTCTTTGACCTTCTTTTCSTTTCAAAGACGATCCAAGATAAACAAGACTTTTAAAGCAAAGCAAAAGTATCTCAAAAGAAAAAGCTCTATCCAATATTTAAAGCTGTGAACATTGCTAAAGGGAAATAGACTTGGTAGGAGAGGAAGCTCTTTTTTTTTTAATAGCCTGTAGACATTTCCCTTTTGCAATAATCCTGCAAAGTGGCAGCCTTGAGAGATGCTGGGGCTTTAGTTTTACAGACCCCATGCAGTTCTGCCTTGGAGAAACACCACCAAGCTTGCATCAGCCTGGGTTTCTGAGTGAGTAAACCCCTGCACCCCAATGCAAAACCTGCAACCTTCATTTGTTCAGCTTTTTTTTTTTATCAAGTTAAAGCAGCAACCCGCGTGACTGAAACGGGATTGTTGCTTCTGTGCCTGGCTCGGCCGTTAACTCTCATTTTTTGCCTTTCTTGTGTCTGTAAAATGTGGACGATGCATCTTCTAGCACAAAATGATTGTGGATTTTTATACTAGCAAAAGTTCCAGAGAAAAACATGATATTCGGGGGGGAGTATTTCATTAGTGATGTATAGGAAGCCACGCARAAGTCTGAAATGAAGAAGTGTTTTTAACAAACAAGCAATTAGGCTCTTAAAAGTAAAATAAAACATGAAAAATGGCAAGGATCATCAAGATCTGGATGAGCTGAGCAGTCTGTGAGCTGCCTTATCCTTTCAGCTGGAAATAGGGCTTTTCAGTCACACAAACCCCCAACTGTTGCAATTCTGTATGTATTCTGTTGGAGAGCAAAAAATCTGTGCACCAAGTACTGCGTTTTAAACGTCTTTTGTGGCAAGTGATGCCATGCTGCTTCCCAGTGGGAAAAATTATAGTGCCAAGGCTGCTGATGTCTGCTGAATTGTCTATTAGAATAAATCTTCAGGAAATGTGGTCWTGTCTCCTACTTCAGTGACAGCACAAACTATAAAAGCTTAGTTTTAATAATACAATTAGTAACCATGTAAGTAACCAAGCTAGATTTAAATAAATAGAAGATCTCTAAATAAACCAGTGTCTCAAAGCTGTTGAGTTGTGACTATAAGTTCCATAAAGAATTTAAGAATTTATATTGTTCTTGTGCATCCCAAATGCAAAGAGAAGGCTGACATCCTGACAATGAGAACAGAATTTAGTCTGTTTTAGCTGTAGCTAGACCCTTAGCTAGGTCTCCTTAAAGGTGCCAAAGAACAAAAGTGAGAGAGCGAGCGTTCCTGGTACTTTTAACAACTGTTAGACTTAACTGCTGATCTTCTCTGATGGATTGTTTAAGTGTATTTGACCTCTAAATATTTTCTTGCTTCTCAGCATTCTCACTGCACTACTGAGAAGGCCTTCTACCTCTTCAAAGAGAAACACACACACACACACACACACACACACAAAATCAGCCTGTGTGTTTTGGCTGGGCAGTTGCAGTCCTGCTTAGGAGCTGTGCTGATGCAGTTGTGCATATGCACAAATTTAACCTGCAGTTTTACTCTAACTTTGCAAAACAGTCTTGAAAGTGTTGGTTTAAGCTGACAGCTTCTCTATGATGAGTACTAGTAAAAAAGCAAATAAAAACAAACCAGAAAACAAATGACCGGACCTACAAACCAACTGAACTTGTTTGCAAGTCATCCTTTTCAAAACCCTTCCTGTCCATGTGTTTGTGCTTAGACTTATTTTCTGCCAGAGTAACCAGATCAAGAATCCTAATTATGCAATTTTTTTTCTCCTTCCTTTTATTTTTAGCAAGTTTATCCAGGATAAATATTCTGGCTACAGTCAGCAGGCAGCTGCTTATATCGCTGGGGCAGTGTACGACAGCTCCCTTGTTCTCTCTGCAGCGGTTGGCATATTAATTGTGAGTATGCTCATAATTAATTGTGGAACAGAAGTGCAAGAGCTCACTTGCTGAAAATTAACTGTTTGTGTCTGAGCTCTTTTTTTTTTCCCTTGGAAAAGGCATTTCCAAATGCCTTTGTTATCAACCCTACACCCAGAATTTCACCTGTTGTTGCCAAACAAGCAGGTCTGTCATTCCTTGCAACCTGCAAAGTGTTTTTCTGTGTGAAATAAATTAGAAGATATTAAGTTAACCTCTTTTCCTTCCATTCCCTAATTCTGCTSTGGTTGCACACAGTATGGTCCCGAACCTGGGGAAATGGCTGCATGTTGTCCTGAAGCCTGARACTGGTATAGAAAGGGATCCAGATAAGGTTGGCGGGTGGATAGGAAAGGGCAACTCACACCTGAGCAGTCCCTGTTTTGTCCAACTCTGCATCTCCTTATTTCCGTAACTGCAAGGATACAATTGTGTCTTTCCTGTGGGAATGCAGAGATCCCTTTTAAGAGGCCTTTCTCTGTTTCCCTCGCCAGGATTACGTTGGACTGAGAGGCATCTTTGCTGTGGGCTGTGCGGCGCTTACTCTGCCAGTCTTCGCTCTCCTGGCATTCACGTTTGTCCCCCCACTAGTGGCTACCATCTGGTTGGGGATTACTTACTCCTTTGCTGCTGTAAGTTCACAAACCACCCTGCTTTAGTCGTGGTTCGTGGCTGTGCCCATTCTGCAGGCTGCCTGATACACACTACCTTAAGCTGCCAGAAAAGGCTTGGGAAGGGGCAAGAACCTGTGGCTAGGCCGAGGAGGATAAATGGCAGGCTGCTTTAGGGGAAGACATGGATGTTTGTTTAGTGGGCGTAATTATTTTTTAAAACTGATGACTATCTAATGTCTTTAAATTACGCTTAATTCCTGCCTTTACGCTGCCCTTCCCAGGCTAGTATGTGGCCATCCATACCACTTGTGGTGCCTCAAGCAACATTAGGGACTGCAATGGGACTAGCAACTTCTGTGCAGATGGTTGGCGTTGGCCTTTCTAACCTCATTGTTGGACACATTCTAGGGACGAAGTCCAGGTGAGAGGCTTTTCCTGCTTTTTGTCAAAGTAGAGACCGTTCGTGGTGCTTCAGGGGAGTGGTGTGAAATGTAAACAGTCTTTTCGCAACCTGAAGCTGCAAGTAATGTCGTAAGAGTCATGAAGTGATGAGTTATTTATTTATTTTTTAGTGAATTAAAGATCCCACTGTGGCGCTGGCAGCAGATGATGATCTTTATGTTGGCCAACACTATTGCATGTATTGTTGCTTCTGTTAGCCTCAATGTGGTGGACAAGAAGCAGGTAAGTGTGACAAAAGGTGAAAAAGGCCTTGTGTGAAGTTTTTCTTTGTGATTGATGTAATATAACAGCTGTTAGATATGTTTACAATTAATTCTCCCACCACAAAAATAAGACTGCATAAAACATCTGGTAAAATACTGATGTGGTGTGTGCTGGTCTCTCCTAGTAGCAGGCTCTGGGCAGCTGTAGTGTTGCGGGAGAAGGTGTAGGTGGACAGGAGAACCAGTGTCCTTCCAGCCACTGACTGTGTCTGTGCCCCTCCAGGGAGGAACGCTGAACCGGACGCGGAAGGGAGCACCCACGGAGCAGGAGGAGAGACAGGGAGCAGATCAGGCACCGCTCCTGGAGGATGACACCAGGAATGAAGGCTCCAGCGGCTGATCCTGCTGCAGTGAGAGAAGAGGGATGGCTGCCAGACACAGTATTGATCATTTCTACTTGAAAGGGAATTTTTAGCCTGTGCATTTTAAACATTCTTAAAGAGAAACCTCGTTCTGTCATCCGTTAAGATCTGTGAAGGAAATTGTCTGCACAAAGGGAATGTTTTCGGTTCTCTGTGTCTGGAACACAAGTGGAACAGGCCTGAGACACTATTTTTGGTGTTCTCTGCCACAGAGAAACCCGCAGGAAAGGCTTTTAAGTAMCACCACCCCAGTAAGTAAAATTAGCCAAATATAAGCATGTTCATAAGCTGTTAGATAGTTTCTTTAAACTTTTTTCAATCTTGCATTAAAATTGTCCCCAGGAGGGGCACCTGGCTGGACTGCTGCTGATTCTCAGCCTCAGGCCTTCTGCCTGCGCAGCAGCAGCAGCAGCAGCAGCAGCAGCGCGCTCTTCCGCACGCTCATAGTCCAGCCATTGCCACAGATCAGCAGTCTTCCAAATTAGATATGCATACAATTAACACTTGAGGCAGGAGTCTGAGACTAAGTTACTCAAATTATCAGCTTTCACATGTGTAGGCATATCTTATTTGCTAATTTACTAGAAATGCTTCCGTAAGGCACATCTTCATTTGCTCTCAAAAGCAGGTGCAGTTCTGATCTCCAGTTGGCTTTTCAACCAGGTTAGTCTTAAGTCATAAATGCCAAAGCTTACTTTATTGAGCCTTTCTGCTATGCAATCTCACAGAGTGTTTACAAAAACATAAAGGATGCTTTAAGAATGAAGTAAAYGTTAACATAGCCAAGTACAAGCAGTAAATTACTACAAATTTCAGAGAGAAACTCTGTTCAAGATGTTTTCAGTTTACTAGCATTTATGTTAGAAGTAAGGTAGGTAGTGACAGCATCCACATGGCTTTGGTGGTTATGAAAGAAGACACGTCTTCTCTTTTAGAGAACTTTGCTTTAAAATAACTTAAAGCAAGTTGATCATCTAGTGAATCCATTTCCTCGTATAGACAATTAAAGGATTTCTCTCARGCATTCAAATGGAGCTGAAACTTGGAGGTGGAGTGAGAAGTCAAATAGCAAGTCCCACATAGCTGCTTATTCACTGATTAAACAGTACTAGATAAGCTAGGTAAGTACTTGTCCTTTTTGTGTGATGCAGATAGAGAAATCTGCTTTTGTTTAAAGCTTCCTGCAAGCTTTCAGCATTTATACCTGCTACCCGACCCTGGTGTTTTCACTGGACTAGTACATGAGACCAATGGTATTTTTTTTCCTAGATTGTTGTTTTTGTTTTTTTTCTTCCTAGAAAACTCCCAGCTGAATTTCCAGCTATGTTGCTTTTGTGTGCCAGATCCTATGACCACCTGGTTTAAAAGCAATGCCTACTGCTGCAGCCAGCCTCCTTGGCAGGTAATCCTGAGCTTCATGGGTTTATAGAGCAGCCCCATGCCGCTATGGCCGCCCTCACAAGGGTTGTTCTTGTGCTGGGATTGCCCCCAGAAACCCTGTATTTTGTGTGTTGTGGAGAAGCGCCAATCCTGCTCTTCCTCATCTGCCATCCCAGGATTGAATTCCCTCTTAGAAGAAACTTTATACTGCTTTTTTGAAGGGGTGTGATAGAGTGCCCTTAAACCTGCCACTGCTTCTCAGTGCTCCTGAAACTCCAGCCTTGGAAGCCTCCCAGGTTTCCTTCAGTTTTATGACATGGACACAACTTACTTGACTACGAAGTTTTTTGACAATATCTGTGCAAAGTGAAGGCAGTCTTCATTTATTTATAAACCTTTTCATATATTCTAAAGACAAGCAAATTGTAGTGGYCCTCAAGCCGGTGGCTCTTAGCCCATTTTTGGGTTAGGCTGATTAAAGGAACAGTGTCAGAGCCTCTAACAGGGGTGAGCTGCTCCTGCAAGGCTGCTCGCGTCTTAAAGCTCACACTAAGAAATCTTGAAGCTGACATAACTACAATGAGGAGGTAGAGAATAAAGTTTCCTGTAACAGCACCTAATAATCTGTATTAAGGAATATGAAGGAGTTCCTCTTGCTCCCTTTTAACTACTTTTTTCATTAATTACTCCACTGCTGACAAGACAGCTACCTGCACTTTTCCTGTCCTCTAGCTTCTTGCTTAACAGCTGTTGCTGGGGTGCCAGAGATCACTGCTGAGAGACCTTCTAGAAAGTCATCGCACTTCCCCACGCTGAGCATGCCAGGAAGATTAAAGAGTGGCATTCATGAAGGCCAGAGTGCTGTAAGAAATGGAAAGCAGCAATCAGTTAGTCAAGGTTTAATTTCCATGGTGCCACCGTGATCATTTATCTGGGTAATAAAAATCACCCTTTCCTGAGCCTCGGGCACCCCTGGAAGCGGAAAGAGCTTTTGCTGCCCCATTCTGGCACAACTTTCTGCTGTGTAAAGCACAGCAAGAAACAGCTCTTGAAATACAAACTGACAGCTGAAAGGGAGCTCAGGCTCAGGCAATTTGCAGTAGCAGTCTGCACTACGGTGCTTTAATTCTGGTACATTCTCCCAGGAAACATGCTAAGCACTTTTATAGAGCATGTGCTATGAAACAGTGCAAGAAAAGACATCATCATCATGAAGAAACTGGCACCGTATTAAGATCTTRGTTCAGGTAGACCACTACGCTTACAATAAACAGCTCTGCCTTAGAGCGGGTTAACAAGATGAAAGGTTGCAACTGAAAGAAAAGGAAAGTTGGACTCGAGAGGATAAAATTTACCCCCAAAATAAATAATCAGATACAGAATTTCATCAGAGCCTCAAGCAAAATTCCTTAAGAGACAGATCAAGGGAACGAAATGCTGGGTGGCCAGTTGGCTCCAGTATAGCGCTGAAGATGCGGGTGAGCACCCCACATACCTTCACAGGGAGATACCAAACTGTTCYCAGTAATATAAAGATTGGACAGGTAACAGGATACTCAGGCTTCTCTGCAGCCCTGTGACATTGCATACAAGCAACTGCAAGAATTATTCAGTTGTCTTGGAATTAATAGGAAATTCACAAAAGCAGATACTTAGTTTGTAGAGAATTGTGTCCCTAGAATCTTATTTTAAGACAAGGTTCTCCCATTAGACAAGTTGCAAGAATGAGTTTCAGATATTCCATGTCTGATCAACCTCCATAAGTAATTCAAAAAATCAAAAAAAGAAAAAAAAAMCAACTTTCATACAGTTTTCAGTAAACTCAGATAGACCTTCCTCATTAAAAAAAAATCTCTTTTGCAGCAAAATCTCTTGTTTAGTGTGGGTTATGCAGTGATCCAACAAGCATTTGCTTGAAAGAAAGGTGCTGCATAGGAGCATCAGCCTTAGCAGTGGAACCGCGTGCTGATCTGGGCTAATTGGGTTGATAGGGATCAGAATGGGCGACACCACCCTGCAGCTGGTCTGTTCTGAGCACACTGTGGCCTCGTGCTAGACAAGCACGGTGGCAAAGTCAGGGACTAAGCAGCAGCGAGGCCTAGAAGCGCTCCCCCCTGTTGCGTAACTGATCTGGTGTATTTGTGGTTCCCTCTGCCCTGCTGCCTCAGATGGCTGGCGCACAAGAAGCGTACRCGCTTACCAGAAGTGTTGTGAAGAGGTGGGGATATCACTTCTTAAACAGGACATCCTCCTTTGGAGGTGACTTTAAACATCTGAATGCTTCAGTGTGTTTACAAGATGCGTGGAGCGCAGTAAGAGCATCCCTGCGCTGTGTGAAGCAGAACAGAACGTCACCCCCAGCACGGCCGCACGTGGATCAGAAGGGCCTGCCCTTCCTCTTCGCCCCTCACACTCCTCAGGGAGGGCAGGCGCTCGTTCCTCGAGCTGCCCCAAGGAGCTTGCACATCCAGAGCATAACACCAGTGTTTCTTCTGATGAAACAGGCTATGGATCTATTAATAACAAACAGGCGTATACAGCACGTGGTGGAATAACAAAATACAGAGGTTTATTGACAAATTCACCATTCAAGAGTTGATTTCCAATCCCCTTCTGCCCCTTGTTTAGGGAAAAGAAGGGTTCTTATCAAACTTGATGAGTTGAAAATAGATTCCGAAGAAGGAAATGCAAGAACATGATTACACTTTAGCTAATTTAAGGCCCAGCTGGAAGTTGCTGTTCAGAAGACAGGCACTGTAGCCAATGCACATCAGCATTTCTATCTAACGTTCAAGGCCCTAAATGAAGCCAAGTCTAAAGTGGGCACTGCAGCACTAATTACAGCTAAACTCTTCCATGAACACGCTCTTGACTTGTCGATCTGGTTACCTGTTAAAACCCTGTCAGCACCGAAACACATTTGAAAGACAGAAACCTCTGGGACTTGGCCAGACTCGAGGTCAGCTGGTAGGAAACACACATTGAGAAGCAACGTAGCTCCAGAATGGGGCTGCAGCTGGGATATTCTCCCGGGGGACAAACAACAGGGAGCTCCACATCTATCTGACAGGTACAAAGGCATTGACATTTCTGCTTTCCAGGGACATTTCTACCCTCCTGCTGCCACAAAGTACTTTCACACATTGAGAAGGCAGATAGGTCTTCATGCAGGCACCTAGCAGGGGCCAAGCAGAGCAGTCCAGCAAGCTCTGCACTCAGGATGATCAGCACCTGGCCCAGCCATGGTCCCCTCTAAACAGGAACAGTTTTAGGGAGCTAGAGAAGCAGTAAATACATGCAGATAAGGCCACTTGTTCTTTGGTGTAATTGAACAACTCCTGTTTTGATATGTCAGATTTAAAAAGTCACCATCATATACGCTGAGCAGTCTGAGCAGCTAACGTTAACATTCAAGTATGAGAGCTCAGTATGCTCAAAGTACATTCAGAGAGTTAATGTGGGAGCGACCCTCCCCAACACACAGTTTGCGAAAAACTACGCACATCTTCGAAACATGATTTAAGGTAGCCAGCATGCCCAAAGGGTCTGTATTGCTAAAAATCTTTGTGCGACTAGGACAGTGTACAGAACGTATCCAAACAGCTACAGCCATGGCTTGGGGATAATCTGAGTTGCTCTCACCCCACACCAACCAAATTCTGAGGCAATCAAAGGCAAAGGTAAGGCCGACTAAAGACACAAGAATTCACTAACGGAGTCAGCACAGACGAACAAACAAAAAATTGCACTGTGGTGAAGACAGTCAAACAGTCCTGGCTTCTGCAGGGCTCCAAGGCAAAGCCCCTGCAGAAGCTAAGGCATTTCCATATAGGCAGGTCAAAGCTAACTAGACACCTCCGTTCATTCTCCATGGTACCTGGATAAAGTTGCTGCTATTCAAAGACAACCATAAAGCTTCTATTTGYACCCAAATCATTACCGAGAAATCTTCAAGCACTCTACCAGGATTTCCAAATAAAAGTCTTCTAGAAGCACTTACATGATATGGTCTATCAGACTGATCTTACCCTTTGTCAATGGCTACTAGTAATCGGCAGATTACTGAAGGCAGCAGAAAGATCTGCGAATAGGAGAGGAACACCAAAATATTCACTAATGCATAATGGCTTCTGACAGTATAAAAGAAAATTTCATAGTGTTTTGTCCTTGTTTCAGCAATCATGTACTCTGGAGGAGGAAGGAAGGAGAAAAACAAGCAAACACTAAAGATGTTCAAGAACACAACAGGACTACTTGTCCCAGCGGAACATATTTACATTAAAGTGACTGCAAATCAACTCGCATCGAGAAACTACCTTATTTTGCCTAGAGAAGAGCATTGGCTATGCTGTGCTTAAGACTATTCCTGACTCAGCCTCCAGGTCCCTACCCACTCACAATGTTTTACACACGGAAAAGCCTGACTCCACAAGGGCATCCCAAGTCACTAGCTAGCTATGAATCTAAATCTGAAGAACTCACGACAAAGCAGCGATTTTTTCCACGACGTTACACTAATGTCCCTCTTCACCACCCACCCATGCAGCCTGATACTCTTCCACGTGTCCCCCTTCCACCCCCTGCCCCAGCCCTCCCTCCCCAAATTGTCAGGTTATCCTTCCTACGCATTTTGGCATAACCCTCATACATCTGCCTTAACAATCTGTCCACAAGCAATAGTCTCCAAACTGACCTCACAACCACAGACAAGAGTTTCTGTGCAGACTCAGTTAGTGAACAGCTGTCCCTAGTAGAAGGCAATGCTGGATTTCCCCCCGGGGGGATTGAGAACTTTGTTGTGCGAGCGCGGCCTTGGCCCTAATCTGGGCTCGTGATTGTCTAGCTTGGGTTCTGGTTCCTTGAGTCGCTCCTCTTTGCCCACATCTTTTTTCTCGCCTCCACTTTCCAGTTGAGATTTGTTGTTTTCTGTAGCTGAATTTAAAAAAAAAAAAAAAAGAAAAGCTTGTTACTCTCTAGTAGTACATCTTACATCCACAGCACACTAAAAATAGTTTCTCAGAGCCTCTTCACTTTTCCTGCAAGGCTGAAGGGCACAAGGACAAATCTCACTTCTCCATTTCCCTTCCTTGAGCACTCCGTACGTTCCACGTTACTTCAGCCCTTTCTGATAAATGGGAAATGCAGCGTGCCTACGACTGCTTTCACACAAGCTCCAGGGCAATACTGCCATCATTCTTGCAACACTGGTAACTAGAGCAGTGTGCTGTGCACTGAAGTCAGCTACTTGGTGCTTACAAAATACTGCAGGCCAAAATTGCACATTTGAAGGAAGCAGCAAGGAGAAAGGAGCAATGTGACAGGAACTTTTTCTGTTTATRCAGATTCCATCCATCCATCAATGTAAGAGAACTGTTTCCCAGAATTCAAATTGTAGTTTGGCTTAATCAAAAATTCATTCAGTTACATTATCCTAAACATCAGCTAAGGCTTATRTAAGTCTTAATATAAATCTTATATTTTTAAGAGGAAGCACAAGCAAGGCAAACTCCTCCTTAGCTAACATCTCAAAAAACAGCAGAGAAAATGGTTTCTCTTGCTAACCTTCTAGCTTCTTTGGTGTTTCATCTTCTTTCAAGACAATGTGATCCTGCAATAAAAAATAAAAACTTTCTTAGTACTTGGCATTTCTCAAACAGCCACTCTGTCACAAAGTCCTCCAAGTCTTGCTTTGTTTCTGATCTAATGACTTAAAACTTTAGTTTTTGAGCAATCAGAAGCCTTTTAAGACCATTTTTTTCTAGTCACCCTAATTAGTTGTCAGAAACACATGGCAGTACTTCAGTAAAGCTTTCATGTTTTTTCACTCATTAAGTTCAACTTGCAGTAGTTGTTGCAAATAGGCAATCTCCCTTTCTACCTCTACATTTACAATTATTCTTGCTAAATTCACTGGAATTTCCAAAGTGCTGTCCTCCGTCTAGCCAGGAGTTCCTAGGAACTAAGATGTTACATTAAAAAAAAAAAATATATATATATATATAGAGAGAGAGAGAGAGAGAAAAGCAAGACAATTAAACAGAGACCACACAATAAGGAAATAACAAATAAAACAAAACTCCTTCCTAACTCTAAAAGCGCTACTCCCCCAAAACCCAGCTCCTGGAGTCTTTTGTTTCTCTCAAGATTTGAATCTCCCAAAATATTCTGAAATCTATTAAAAAAAAAAAAAAAAAGAGGGGAAAAGAGGAGAGAAAAGGAGTCAAAATGGACTAACAGCTTTACCCTAAAACCCCAGGAGAAAAGCGGCTGACACTTCTTTTTGAAATCAAGTCTGCTGAAAAAGCCCCCTGATGCTAAGTTTTGGAAATGCTTGACGTTATAAGGAACGCTGTCAACATGGGAGCTACTCACTTAATAGTATGCATTTAGTGCAAGGCAGAAGTTTACAAGACAGATATAGGGCATTTAAATACAGAAATAATTGGCAATGTTTCCTCCTGTTTAAAAAAAGAAAGAGGGAGAGAAATAGCTATACTCGCTTATAAATTYATACAGCCCAGTTCTAAGACTGGCAGATAAAATCTGATACAGTGACAAATGCTTGTGTCTGACCTCAGAAATCCAAGCACATGCTGCACCTGAAACTCAAGGCTGATCTTTAAACGAGCTTTTTCACTGCTGATCAGTGCGCTTTCCTGTTGAATGGGGATACACGTATTAGACACATGAAGAGGAGAGCCAATTCACACACACATTTGTGATGGTAACTCACTGACGCAGGTGTCGAGATCTCCTCTGCTGAACCGCAGAACAAAGAGCTATCTCTTGCCTGCTGAAGCCAACAATCCTATACGTCTCTTGGCTGCGAGTCAAGAGCTACAGCTGTACTTGGGGCTGAAACCCTTTGGCCTTCATTATTCTTACGCATCCACAACATAATTAATAGTTTTGCTGCAGACGATGGAGCTCACAGAAAGCTGATACACAAAAGATAAAAAGCTGGCAAAAAAGAGGCCTCAGGAATAACACTGCCTAATTTGAAGTTACAATATGCATAATTTAGGCCTCTCATCTTAAAAAGATTACAGGTGTTGCGTCACTGACAAGACTGTATGATGATTCATTGAACCACTAGCCTCGTTTGACAGTGAAAAGAAGTACAAATACCTTAGGCTTGTTTGGATGTGCTCGCACAACACTGGTAGATACCGGAGACCCGAAGATATCGCTCGTCTTCCCACCAGGTGGGTTTACGCGCGGTCGAGGCTGCGCCAAACTGGGATCCTCAAAAATGCCACTCTCTTTACCCCCTGCAAGGTGGTAAGATTTTTGTTCTAGATAACTTAGTTTACTACCCTATAACAACAATAATAATAATAAAAAAGAACATTTGAGGACTTTGARGACCCTACTGCCTCAAAGGGCAGACTTAAGCAGACTTACTTCTGCTTATCCGGAGCTACAGCTTAAAATCCTTCACAACAAGAATTCACCAGAAAATCTGAAATTCACAGCTGTATTTCGCGCACTAACTGATGACAGAACTCTAGCAATKGAAGCAATTTCCGTCATCATTTCCTAGACTTCAATACTAGGAAAAACTTTTAGCAAAGATGAAGTACTAAAACGTCTGTGAACGTGCAGATTGTTCACATATATCCTCCAAAGTGTGAAGAGGTTTAGTGCCCAAGCAGTGCATTTGTAAAATGTCATTTAGAAAAGACAGATTGCAGTAAGGGCACAAAACCAGCACTGTTCTGCAACTCAGGGCCTCRCCACCCTGGGGAAGGCGGCTGCTCTTACCTGGTGGGTTTGTTCTTTTTGGAATGTTCTGCGGTTCTTCAGATGCTCCGAAGATATTAGATGCCATCCGGTGTGGCCTGCTGGAAGAAGAAACTTCTTCTGCATTGCCAAAGAGATTACTAGAACCACCTCCTGGGGGCTTCAGGACCCTACAAAGTAAAATGAGAGAAGCAAGAAATTAAAATTTATTTGAAAATTTAGAGCTATAGAGCTCTCTATCATGTCCCTTCCTGTTCCTCCTGCACATTACAATGAAATACTCCAGCTGGAACATACCTAAGGTGATTTTAAGTCTATGAAGTAACTATTTTTCAAAAGATTCCTAACTCMGGGTTTCCAAGTTTATAGAAATATTGCCAGCTTCCTAGGCAGTAAACTTGACTACCATGTTATCTGGGATTACTTGAAACAGTTACAGCATAACAAAACCCTCAGAACAACTGGCTCATCTCCTGCTGCTTCTGTACCACCACAGATAAAACAAGACCTATGACTCAGGTTAGTATTTTAAAAATAACCACTATAGCATCAGACTTTTTCCTAAACTTCACATACTGATTTAGTTATACAAAGCCAGCAGCTTGTAAATAAAAGCAAACAATGCAGCCAGAAGGTGTCCAACACTAAAAATCTGCTAGCTTCCACCATCAGTTTACCCCTTATTCAGCTGCTCTAGAGCTTAGGATGAAAAGGTGGAACCACCAAGCAGCCAAATGTTTAGTGGTTAAGGTGCATTAAGACTACAGCTCTTCAACAGATGYATATCAAATATATCCTCCATTCTTATTAGGATCCAACACAATTGGGCCAACTTCTCAAAAACCTACTTAAAGTTGGTCTTGCCCTTGAGTTTAGAGCTATCACCTATGCCTTAGTCAGCAGCCTTCAGGTCCTATCCTGAAAGGAATCAGAAAAATACGAGGAAGGGATGCATGCTGATGTATCAGCTATGAACTTCAAAGTCCCGTCTACTTCTTGACCAACTGCCCACAAATGTAGCTGAGCAGAGTTTGGCCTTTTCTAACCTGAACTCCTAATCTGAGCCCTAAACTAAACTTAGCTTTAGTTCAAGCAACACATTTATAAACTGCATGAACTTCATCTTGCTCTAGAGGAGCAGAAGCTGGGTGTCGGCATAACCAAACCAAATAACAGCCCCCTACAAAGATGCTGATTTAATTAGCTCCATTAGTTTGAGGGAATAACTAGTTGTTCAGCAAGGAAGGTAACTGTCTTGTCCACTGCATAGATGAGATCAAATTCGATGTAGTGTTCAGCACACTCTAGGCCAAACAATGCTATACGGATTTCTTTGTATTTTAGAAAGCCTCAGTTTGCTATTAAAACATCACATAGTATTTTTGATCATTCAGGATAGTCCAGGAACCATAAAAAAAAAGGTAACTAGAATATTTAAATTTTGGAGATAGAAAAGGCAAGAGCAAACAAATAAGAGCGTTTTGAGACGGGATTGTTAAGAAAGTACCCCTACTACTGTCCTCAAATCCTGAAAGCAGTTTCTGACTTCAGACATTCTTTTCTATTATTTATGCTTTTACTCTTTGTTGAGTTAATCTAGGAATACTACTAAAATGACTGMAGAGAAAAATCAGTCTGTGCAGATGGAGTTTTTTAGCAGAGATTCCTTGCAGTTACCATCCTTCTTAACACAGGCCAGAAACATAGGTGGAAACAGGGGAACAAAATTTGACAAGTTTTTTGCTTTAAGGAAAACAATCACACGAACCAAATTTCTTTTAGTTTTTGCAACTTGATTCTTGGGTTTATGATTATTGCAAGAAAAAAAAAATCCAGGGAAGCTTCATGTAAGATTAAAACTCTTGATTACTCAGATGTTTAAATATCAAGAGAAATGTAACATGAGGGTTAATCTTATGTCATCCTCACTTTTTCAGCTCAGTGTCAATACAACCCAAACCCAATGCTGCAAGAAACAAAGATGACAACTTTTGAAGACAAAAGTGGAGATGTTTGAGAGGCGCTTGGGAGCAGCAGATACCAGCAGTTTCTGCACGCATTACCCAAAAGAACGCCTGGAATCYGCACACAAACTAAGTGGATTTGTCTCCTTGGTTTCTGGAGCTTCCAGTCGCGAGGAACCTCCCCAATCTGCCAGAACTGAACTCTTTGATGTAGCGACAGCAGGTCTATAAAATGCTAACCAATGCAAAGCCAGGCAATTAAATAATTCATGAGAACTACAAAAAGCACCTCAGGAAGTTGAGCAATCAGCTCTTCCTCTTATGACAGCAGAGAGGACAGGGCTGTGTGTGCCAGCCAGCCTCGTGGCGGGGCCGGGAAGCGCTGCCGACTCCTCCTGCTCCAAACTTCCCTCGTCCGAGAAGGGAGCGCGACCCAAGGGTTTGCTGCCCTGGGAATAAAATGCACTGACTGCTCCAGCATGATAAACCAGATCAGCCAACACGGGCTGTGCCAGCAGGACACGAGGGCGTTTTGCATAAAAAGTCATTTACCTGTGGATGGGTATTACATAGATTTACATACACCAAGGGTTTTTGTGTCTTCTACCTGGGGAGGCTGGATGCTCTCCTAGTGCTGGGGGAATCCTCTGAGCCTCTTCAATCCTGTCTGCTACCCTCCATCTCCCCCTCTWGACCCTGCTCCTCCGCCTCCCTCCCCGGGTCTCCTGCCTCCAACTCCCTGTCACTCCCGCGCTCCCCTTTCCCTCCTCGGTCCCCATCCTTCTCCCCTCGCTACTTCCATCCCTCTTGCTGCCCCTGCTCCTTTCTCCCCCTCTTCCCTTGCTCCTGTTCCCTCTTTGTGCGACCCAAATAAACCTAAGCATCTAAATTAATCCAGCAAAGTATTTCTTGGCTCTATCACTGTACACAGCAACTGGATGACTGAAGAGTCAACTCACTGGGTGATTACTAAGCCATGCCTTCCATTTAGAGTATTTTTTAACATTATTTATTCWTAACAACTATTTCCCTGTGTTGTGGGGATATAGAAGGGTACAACATTTACTTACTGCTTTATTTAAAAGATTTCACCAGAATTATGAAGGTTCACTATTATTTTTTCCCCTCACTTCTACAGCTTTTAGCGGTTGTTGGGGATTCTGAATTAAGAAGCGAGCCTAATCCCAGGGACTTCACCACCTCAAGAACGGCAAAGGGATCTCCCTTGTCAGCAAACAAACCCGCGCTGGGAGACCGGGCAGCAAGAGCGACAAAGGAAACGGCGCGGGGCCAAGCCCCGCTGCTGCCCAGCCCGGCCCTCGGCGCGGGGCCCTCGCCAGGGCGGCCCAA